ACGCGGGGTCAGAGCGAGGCTTATGGAACCGGCCGCGGGGATAAGGAGCACTCAGATTAGGACAATAAGAAAGGTCTTATCATTTCCTAAGAAAAGGCGACACAGCGCATTCTAAACCATCATGGCGCCCTGGCCAGTGTGGCTCAGTGGACAGAGCATCAGCCTGCGGACTGCAGGGTCCTGAGTTTGATTCCAGTCAGGGCACAGGCCCAGGTTGCGGGCTCAATCCCCAGTGTGGGGTGTGTGCGAGGCAGCCGATCCATGATTCTCTCTTATCATTGATGTTTCTATCTCCCTCTCCCTTCCTCTCTGAAATCAATAAAAATATATTAAAAAATAAATAAACCATCATGGCATTCCTCGGAGGAATCATCTCAGCACGCCGAATTCTCAGGAGCACCTCCAGAGTTCATTTTATTATAAACTGAATGTAAAAGGCTACAGAATCCACCCTGACCAGGTGGCTCAGCTGGTTGGAGCGTCAGCCCGTGCACCAACAGGTGGCAGGTTCAATCCCCAGTCAGGGCACCTACCTAGGTTTCGGTCCCGTGCCCAGTTGGCGTGAGAAAGGGAGGCAACTGATTGTGTCTCTCTCTCTCCCCCTAAAAATCAATGAACATATCCGCAGGTGATGATGAAAAGCCCACAAAAAACCAAAAACCTTAATGAATCCAGTAGAGGCTGGAGAATTAGGAAGATCCACACACGCTGCTGAAGAGTGAGTGTGCTGTGTATGCTATTTGTGTGTGTGTGTATGCTGTTTGTGTGTCTGAGTGTGCTGTGTGTGTGCTATATGTGTGTGTGTGTGCTGTGTGTGTGCTCTGTGTGTATGCTGTTTGTGTGCTGTATGTGTCTGAGTGTGCTGTGTGTGTGCTATATGTGTGTGTGTGTGTGTGTGTGTGCTGTGTGTGTGCTCTGTGTGTATGCTGTTTGTGTGCTGTATGTGTCTGAGTGTGCTGTGTGTGTGCTATGTGTGTGTGTGCTATGTGTGTGTGTGTGTGTGTGTGCTCTGTGTGTATGCTGTTTGTGTGCTGTATGTGTCTGAGTGTGCTGTGTACATGTGCTGTGTGTTGTGTGTGTGTGTATGCTGTTTGTGTGCTGTGTGTGTGTCTGAGTATGCTGTGTGCTGTGTGCTATGTGTGTGTGTGTCTGAGTGTGCTGTGAACATGTGCC